TGCACGACACCGCAGCAGACAAACCCACTCCTCCCAGTTTTCCACACAGCATTTTAACAGTATACCCAGCACCTGAATTGAAGTCTGTCCTTCTAATCACATTTGCGCTGTGTACCTGCTCCGCAGCAGTCCTTCCTGTGCGAAGGCCAGGCCTGCAGCCCCGGCAGCCCGCCCCACACATGTGGGCCCAGCCAGGCCCCAGGCACTGCAGCTGCCCAGCTTTCCCCAGCCCTGTCCCAGCAGCAGGGTGATGGGCTCCCTCCCACAGCACCAGGAGCTCGTGCACCAGGCCAGGAGAATATCTGACCCACTCGGGGTTTTCATAATTTTTAAATAATGTGAAATAACAGTACAAAAGGAAACACACGCACAAGGAGCGCTGCACCCTTTTGCCCTGGTAGAAGTGGCTAGGCACAGCACCCAAAACTCCTCCTGCCCATCCAAACAGGAGCACCCAGGGCACTGCAGCCTCCCCCTCTGCTGAGCCTGGAGCAGCTATTGGGCTCTCTGGACTCCTACAGCACTTTAATGTGCTAGGGCAAAACAGCTTCTTTAGACTCTCCATGGCCCTCCCTCCATTATTTGTTTAAAGCCCAGGTTCTTGGTAAATCACTAAAATGAGAACACCCCCTCTTCCCCCCAGCAGCTCTTTAATCAGAAAGATGCAGAGCAGCTGCCACCACCCACCAAGGGAGCAGAGTTTCTCTGCTTTACCTCACTCTGGAACCATGTTCCTCCATCTCTCCTCTGTAATACAAGTTGATGTTGCTTTGGAAAGTAACAGACTGATGAACAGTATGAAGGACAATCTGCAAAAAAAACCCAAGTTACCTCCCATATATATATTTTTTAAATCAGAAAGTCACTTTTCTCTTGCCTTTGTTTCCCAAACTTTGTCAGATCATAAGAACCCCTACCTAGATGGTATATTGAAGTTCAAAACCAGGTCAGGGTTGCACTGGCATTTGTCTGAAAAGTAGGTTAAATCCAAGTTTTCTGTCAAGAAAGTAAATCCACCTAAATAGGCAAATACATACCAGGAAATATACAATATATTTAAAATATATCATCACATAAGCCCCAAGGACATCTAAATCAACTGAAGCACTAGTGATACAAAAAGCATTCAATAATTCAAGCTCTCTGGGCCATATGTTAGCATTAACTACACACAAAAGTTATCCTTCCTTTTTTAATCACTGGAGCAAGTTTCTGGTTAAAATTTCATCTGATATGTCATCTTTTAAGGAAAAGATAGGTCTCAAGTGACTACCACAAAACTGAGCAGTTCAGACTATAAACAGCATATCCTGAAAGTATGGAGAGATTGAGCAAAGAATGCTTTGAGGATTATTAGGTATACAGGAAACAGCTTCCGCAGGCTTCTGATATAGATGTTTTGTATTTGTTCTCATCTCCAGATTTAATATTAAGTTTTAAATACAGGAGAAAAAACAACTTACCTTGTAAGTTCTTCCACCTACGTGGCTGGCTGCAGTAGCTGGTTATTGTTCTATACAGATGTACCGGGGTAGCCGTAAATTCCACATAACTTGTAGCTCAGCATATTTGACACCAGAAGTCTCCAGAAACTTACAGGCAATTAAAAAATTAGCAGTAAAAGAATAATTGGGAATTTGATCCTTTTATTTCACTTGTCACCAACAGGCTAAATTTGTTTGCACTGGAGCATTCGCACATGCACCTTCAATGAAACAGCTTCCCTCCCTCACTTCAGGGTTTAGAGAAGTCAGGTCATCCTAACCTTTGGCAAATGATTTGCCCTTTACCTGTGTGTGGCACCTATCTCTGAGCGATTTCTGAAGTTTGATAACACAGAAACAAAAGACTGATTAGTTCTCCTATGCCAAACTTCAACTACCAGACCACTCTCTCCATAAGGGAAGTGGTATTAGCTGTTTCAAAACACAGTAGGACTTCAATATTGATTTACCTAGGATTCCACCCCCGCCCCAAACTCACTATAGTAATTTGACATGCTGCACACCATCACTCTTACAGTTTGAAGTTCCATGAATGTTTGTAAAAGACTATTTGCTCTTTCAGTAGTTTGGTTTTGAACTAATTAGTTGATTTAAAATTGAACATATATCACTTACCTAAACACCTCATTCAAGGAGCTCGAACTGAAACACAGGAAGTCCCATCTGAATCAAGGAAAAGCTTCTTTACTGTGAGGGTGACTGAGCACTGAAACAGCTTGCCCAGAGAGGTTGTGGAGTCTCCATCCTTGGAAATATCCAAAGCCATCTGGACACAATTCTGGGCAGCCTGCTCCACATGACCCTGCTTGAGCTGACAGGCTGGACTAAACAATCCCTAAAAGTTCCTTCCAACCTCAACTGTTTTCTAATTCTGTGACAGAAAAATTTTTTTCCTCTGTAATAAAGTTCAAAACCATTTTTCAGAGTTTCCAAACAGCAGATCAATGAAAGAAGAATCTGAACTACTCTAAACTGCATAGACATTTCCTTCAGAAATGAAATTAAGTTCACATCTCATAGTTGACAATGTCCTACAGAGATTGTTTAGGGGGATTTTGCTGTTTTCAAATGAGTTTTCAAATATGATTGATTTCCTTTGTGCACAGGCATGCCAAGTTTAGAATTTTTTCCTCTAAGTTCTCATTGGTAAAGCTGTAACTTAACCCTAACTCTCTTGAGAAGTCAGCTTCCAAATATCCCACTTGTCTCCAAATGCAGGTGTAAGCTTGTTTTGCTAGCTTCCTTAAATGCAACAATTTAAAATGGAATGGTTGTGAAACTTGTTCTATCTCACTACGAAACTACTGTTCTTTCATATAAAAGTATTTTGAAATAGCTATTTACACATTTCCAGTCTCTCATCTGTCCTAAAAAAGTCTGTATTAAGTACTGACTACTCCAATATACTCCTAGGAATACCTGGAATACAAAATAACCCTCCAGATAAAATTTTGTTTTCACATATAAACTCAGACTCAGAAGCTACTACCAAAATGGCAAGTCAACCATCCTTTTTGTTTCCTTTTACACTTTTCCTCACAAACTACATGCATCTCGCTCTATTTTGTCAGGATGCTCAGTTTCAGCATCTTCCCCTTCCCCCAACGTAGAGATGCATGAGATTTCAGCTCTGTACCACTGAAGGTTGGAGCACACTTTCCCATGGGGCAGAGAAGGGGGAATCTGATCAAATAATGAGCATGTCAGAGCAGCAGTTCAAATTCTACTCAGATTGTCTTCTCCAAAGAGATTTTAAATTATGACAAATAACTCTACCAAAATTCAACTCAAACCTTCAACCTGAAGTGTTAAGAAAGAAAAAAATTCCCTTAAATGAATGATACAACCTATTACATATAATCCCTTTGGGGAAAGCAGGGAATGATTTTGTGATTAAGGACCTACCATAGGGCTCAGGAGAATTAGTTCAATTCCTGGCTCTGAAACAAGCTTCCAGGTTCCCACAGGAAAGTCATTTGGCCTATGCAATCTCCTATCTCCATATGGACTCTGGCAGGGTAATTTATAAACACTCGCAGTCCTCAAATATTGTATCAGCCAGATGAATGCAGGTGGGCTACAATCATTTTCAGAGCTAGTTAGCTATTTAAAGAGGACACTGCCCTTGGACTGTCACACTTATCACCACAGAAGTTATACTTCAATTTTTAAAGAACAGATATTAGAGGGAGCAAAAACAAAGACTAAGTTACATTGCTTACTCTTTGGTTGGCAGTTTCTAATGATTTAGCAAGTGCACTCAACGAATGAAAAAGGTTGCAAGATAAAAATAAGTTGGTAGACCTTACAGAAAAACACTACTTGGTTCTCAAGCAGAGGACTGTCTTCCAGGGTTTGCACCACAGAGAAGTTTCTCATTTAAGACCTATAGCTGGGATTGTTCCTTGGTAAAACTACATTTATGAATTGACTTAATTCATAAATAACAAATACATTCAGTAAGAAAAACTCATCTGTCAATACGAGTTATGATAGAACAATTCAAACAAGCACTATAAGAATAAATACTGGCAGCTACTGTGTAACCTTCTCAATAGTTAAGCACTCCCTGCCACTACAGAATCCACAGTGGAAACATTAGACAGCCTAAGCCTTGGAAAAAGTAATAACGAGAAGGACTTACTCAGACATGCTAATAAGCATGCATACTATTCAGTTCATTATCCAATATTTCAGGAACAAAAGCAAAAATTTGTCTTCCCTAAAACAATCAAGAAAACCTCTGTCCTACAAATATATCAGAAATATACAAAAAACTCCTCTCAATTTTTAAAGACAGATTGCAATTATTAAAAAGTTAAATTCCTTTTCAAAAAAGGACCATGCTTATGATTGCAAGTAATAGCTATAAATAAACGCATTAGAGAAGTCATTTTCAGTTACTTGATGTGCTTCATATGTCTGAACATTTATTTTTCATGTATTAACTCCAAATATACTTAATGTTTCAGTAGAATGGCTGTTAAAAATATTTTAAAATCTAATGTGACTAACTTGTAAGCAACTACAAATTAAGGTGGTCCCTCACATAATTTACTTAATTGCTTTTCTGGGTACAACTATTGCAGCGTTTTCCTTATTTTTCCATTGTTATAACTTCAAGCTACAATGGAATTGAGAAGAGTCTAAAATACCAAAAACAATCGCAAGCAAGTTTAGTATCAAAGACATCAGTTTTAAAACTATTTCAAAGCTATTAGCAGGGCAAGTGACACCCAGAATCCAGGTTGAAGTTAAAGTCAGTCCTTTCACCTTCATCTTTTAATAAGATAAAATTGTTCTTAGTTCTTCACACATTTTATATTATAAATATAAAATCCTGTCAGCCCATGGATTTCACATGGTTTTAGACAAATTCCATCATTCCCTGTCTGACATATACTAGAACTAAATCTGACTGGACTTGTATATTCCAACTCAAATAAAGAGAATTGTATGAAGTTCAACCACAAAATGAAACTGGTGACCACTGTGTAGAACAGGTAAGTTTTATTTTGCAACTGTTCAACAGCTTCTAATTTAGAATTATGAAGCTACAACACCAACCTTTATGAAAATTTGTTTTAATAGAAAAGTCATCTTGTACTTTCTGAAGTTCTCACAGGACTGACTGCACCAGAAGGAGAGTGCATAGGCATTAGCAATACAAGTCTGTCATGCTCTCCGCTGCCTTGGAAAAGTGCTGCTGGCATCCTGCTAAGCACATTCCACCATTAATCTTGGTGTCAGCAGCGTCTTCTTAGTTGAAGAAAAGCTTTGGTTTAGCTCCCCATCGGTGCTGCACTGGTTTATCATGAACAGCTGCGACAAAATAGAACAAGCAGTGTAAGACAGTTGCATTTTACATATCTAACTACCCTCCTCGCATCTATTGAGACGCAAAAAAAATCAATTCTCTCCCCCATCAGTGAAAGGTTAAGTGATCTCCATTTTCTACTTTATTGCAGTACCAAAACAATGATTTGCTATGACCTTGACTGTTCCTAGCCCCCAAATAATCTAATGTCTAACTACTCACTTCAATACAAAATACAGTCCAAAACTCTATTCATTTCAAGCAATCAGGATCCTGCAAGTCTCAATAAAGTTTCAGGTGAGGACACAAAAAAGCTAACATACTCCTCTGGCTGTTACTGTTCTGCTAAATTCATGTATATGCATATCACCACTGATGGGTGCATGTCTCACCAATTCCTATTCCTCTCTACAGGCTTAAAGTTCTTCCTTGCATCTAACCTAAATCCTCACTACCAATTTAACCAATTGATTATTCTACCTACAATGGAATTACTGCCTCTTTATAGCCTTTTACACAATCAGCTATTACCATGATCTTTTTCCATTTTGTCTTTTCTAGATTAGAGCAAACCTAGCTCTCAGCTATTCTTCATAGGTCAGTTTCTAAAGAATTCCTGCAGAGGAGAGCAGATTAGCTACACCATTTTCAAACTGCTATGTACTCCAGGATCAAGTGAAGCATAACAGTTTGAATGTACAACACTCCTTTTTACACTGCAGAATGACATTCTTTTGCAACAGTATTGTATTGGTTCATTCACACCTCATCTTTCATCTGTGCATTTATTGCCCCTGTATTTATCACTGTAGGTATAGTAAGTTGCAACAGATATCTGCTAGAACTTCTTACCGAGTCCAGATGATCAACAAGTTACTTTATTCTGCTCTCAGAAATTAACAGTGTCAGGATGAAGTACCCTCTCTGGTCCATCCCCACATTCTTAATGAAAACACTGAGTGGTACCTTATCCTAGTACAGGGCTGTCTTCTCAGTAACGCCCTTGGAGTTCAGTTGCAAACAACTGACTATACTCTCAGAAGGACTCCAAGCTTTTAATAACTCATCTGTCAGAACAGGCAATATACTCCATACTCACGCTTGTGGCTCCCTGGCACATAGCCAAACACAACTAGCCTTCCTTCAAGAAGCTGCAAGGATAAAGTTCCTGCTTGGCATTCTCCAGATTAACTGTTTCCTCAGATTCTGCTGGCACAATGCCACTCGATTCTTTCACGAGTATGCGTTGATTCTGTTACTGGTCAAGCCACATCAGTAATAAATGTTCAAAAAAATTCCTCTAGTCTTCCACACTTGCGGGAACACCCTTCAGATTATGTTAGTTCACAGCTAGTGTAACACACTCAGATAACTCCATGACACAGAATGCCTAATAAGCAACAAAGACATGCGCTTCTATTTCATGACCAGAAAACAGCACCAGTAATTTATAAGACACAGGCATGGCCATAGTTATTCACACATTTAACTATCATGCTTGGCAATTACCTGAACACCTATCAAGAAGGAAAAACTTCATTCCTTAAAAAGGCTGCATATAAAATATGCTCAAAATAATCAGCTTGCCTTGAAAAAAAAATCAAATCAAGGTGAAACATCACTTGCTTGCTCCCCTCCCAGCACCAGCTTTCTGAGTAGAAGCTCAAGTGATAATTTCCTAAAATTCAAAGTTTCCCCAGAAATGTGTCCCTAACTACCTCAAAGTCCCTTCCCTCCTCTCCCTCCCTTTTTGACCACAGCAGTCCAAAAAACACCTTTGTTCTAACAGAACAGCCAGACCAAGAAGCTCATGAGTATAGAGAACACCTGACAGGTGCTATAGCTATGATCTGCAAGAGATAATCACAGCTCCAAACCCCTTCTAAATTAGTGGAAAAATTGTTCTTAGTGTCAGTTTTCCATTTTTTCCTGCATCTACATAAACAAACACAAACCTTACAGAAAGGCTAGCTAGCTTTCCTACAGGCTGGAAGGTATTTCCCTCTAAAAATTTGCAACTCTAAATGATGCATATAAATTCTTATCCAGAGCCATTAAGTACTTCATTTACAGGGACTGTGATCTACCCTTTTGAATCCACTATCAGTGCATTATAGGGATCCAGAAAGTGAGGTCTTTTTGCCTAAAGGGCTTACAAAACACAAATGTTGATGTAAGAAAAAAAGAATTTGTTTATTTCCAGTTTCACCTTCATTTAAGTTTGCCCTGCTTTCTTAAAAATCAGGCCAATATAAAATATTTTAAAATCAGGATATATGCACTTCTATTTTTATTTTACTCCTATAGCAACATATAGTCATCTCCTTTTTACTTATAAGTTGTAAATGCTCAAATTATAAATTACATAATTGTGTGTTTTAGTGTATAATATTTCATTTTACTTGGATGACCACAGTATCAGGTATATAAACATTTGTTGTAAGTATCCTAGCTATTCAGGAATAAAAGCTGGATAAACCCCCCGAGCTTAGATATTTTATGGAGTAATATCTAATCATTTCAATATTGAGTGAAAGTATCCTTCAGGATGAAATTCATTTAAAACAGGACACTTCTCATCTTTAATTGAAAATAAGTTTTCCAGCTAGAATAGATGTGGTTGTCAGCATCAGAACACTTAACTACTAATCCAAATAGCTGAAGAGCTTTGTCACACTCTCCTCATGTTGGCAAAAGGCCCGATTTCTCTAAGCGGTGGCCGTTTTACAGGTTGATGCAAGAAATATCCCAGAAGTCCAGGTCTTTTAGCAGATGCTACTAGAAGAGGTGGAGGTTTACCCTTTGCACCTGACAGTCCTGTTTGGAAACAGTGTGTTCTTAAAACAAAGACTAACATCTACTTTTGTTTACACAGGACACTCTTAAGTATCCAAAAACATTGGGCTTAAGAAATGCCAGTTACCCATCTGAAGCATATAGAAACAGCACTGCAGACAAAGCACTTTCTCCATGCACATGAAGAGTTTCTAACACCTTAGCCATTATCATTCAGTGTCCTATTTTAAAAGATGTACAGTCACTGAGCTGCAAGCACAACCTTGCTGTAAGTATCTGACAATGCACAGCACACCAGCATGCAGCATTACTAATCTTCCATGAAGATACTACAAAGTGTAATTCTTCCTGATATTAATGTTCATCTGTACAGATAAGTTTGAAAACAAATTGATGAATAAAGTACAACTGGCACAGAAAGTTAAAGCCAGATATTTCTATATGACAGTTCATGACATACTCGATGACATCTGAAGTAGGTTCTAAGAAAAGATTTAATGTAGATCACTAATTTTGATTCACTTCATGCCTAGTATTCACTCCATTGATTCAGACTCAGTATTACCACCAATAAACTGCACGTGGTCTGACAGCTATTTTCACCCCACCATTCATCTAATAAAAGAGAATAATTCAGTTAAGCAGATCTCTCATTTTTTAACCAATTTACCTATTTCAATCATGAAAGCAGCGTTTAATTTACAAAGCACCATGCCTTAAATCCTATGCATCTAAGAATACTCATGTTTAAAACCTGAACCACCTTCACTGTTTCTGCTACCCTTTTAGTTTTCAGTGAGCTTCAGTAACTCAAAAGAATCGTAACCAACTTGGCAACTAAAAAAGAAAGCTTTGGGAATGGAAAGTTCACAATGGGTGAGGAAAAAAGCCTTTCTAAAATAGCCAGGTGTTCACCTCAACCCATACCAACTTCAAACAGATGCAAGGACAGTAGGTGAGTCTGATTTCAGACTGAGGACATGAAAGATCTTATAAGCTCTATATTCTTACACTTTCATAATGTTAGAATGGATTCATTTTTAGATAAAGAATAGCATACTCCCCTACTCCTATCCTTTCACGTAAAGTTTGCTCTGAGAAGAACAAGCCTGAATTCCAGTCTTTCAACTGTTATTTGATCACCACTAAGTATTTGCAAGTTCAAACTTTCCTACGTTCCACCCCCCTATTCGATTGTAATTCACATAGTATCTACCATGCTTTGTTCCATTTTTATGAGCAAGCTACTGTGGCAAGTGATCCAATCATAAAAAGTGACATAACGAATTAGTTTGAAATACAAAGCTGATACGGGGAAGTTAAAATTCTCTACTGACCGGGTGTTGGAAGAAGATCACTGATGGCCTACCACCCAATAAGGCAGGTTTAACCTGACGATAGTTGACTGGCCTAGACCATTTCTGCTTGGTTTTGGAAAAGGTAAAGGTTTACTTGAGGTATGGATGGCAGTGCTTGTACTTGGCCTCTGTTTGCTTGATACATTGCACCAGCTCCAGCTGAAGGATCAGTTTGTTCACCAAGGCCTAGGTTAAAAGAACAATAGAGGTAAGCAATTCTTACGAACACATTGTTATGACAATACACAAGCAGTAACTTGCAAGAATCTCATTAATCCCTTAACATGAGGGGGGATTCAAGAAGTTTCCATAGAGGTACTCCTATGAGCAACATGGCACAAATCTTCCAAGTTTGGAATTTATGAGAGCAGCTGGGGTCATTTTATCTTTAAAAAAATGTTCTGCTGAATTTTAAACTTGGTGAATAAAAAGCATAAGCTATTCAATTGCTGAACTTTAAATAGAATGTGACTCTTGGTTTAAAAGTTCTGCTAGATGTCACTAAAACATATTCATATGCATACAATGTTATGCAAACTTACACAGTCTTAGCAGATGATCAGCAAATGTTTACTTGCAACCATGACTTGCAAGAGAGCAGTTGACCATTAGGTGGCTTGTATATATGTCTATGATGCATCCTGTCTACTTCAGGATAAAAATACCTGCTTATTAATACATACATTGGCATTTTGATCTCTATTGCCCATCACTTCTTTACAGACTATTTATGTGGCGTGTACCCATATCTGTTTATATCAGATTTAAAAGCTACTTAAAGCTGTGTTTCAGGGGAAAATATGGATACCTTCAGTCACATCTTTCCTGGTCCTCACATAGTCCTTTATTAAGTTCAACTCTTCCCAATTCAAGTATTTTCTCTAACTTAGAGAGATGTCTAATGCTGAGGCACACTCACTCTCAGACCTCCTATGCTAGGTAGCCATCCACCAGATCAGCTGCCTTGCGTGAAATCTCAATACGCTCCTGCTGTCCACACTCAGCAAATATTTTCCCAAATGCTTTAACTACCAGAGGCAGTGCATCCTCCGCAGGCATGTTATGATGCACTACAGAGATAGCTGGCTTTCAGGCTTGCGTTTTCATCTACTTCACACATTTACAAAAAGACAGAAAAATATAGCTGTTACACTGAACTGAAGAATCTAAAAATCTCAGTTATTACAGTGTTAACATAGCTCTCGTGTAACTGCAGAGGTCAGTTTGATTCAGCATAGCTATACACAATTTTATCTGAAATATAAATTCAAAGTTACAATTTCTCCCTCCTACTCTGTCAAAACATTACAGATCACTAATGATCTTAAGCCATATTAGAGATAAATATTCCCAGTTCCACAAAAACTGACATAAGAATAGTCTTTGGATATTTTTTCGTCAATTCAGAATACATTTACTTGAGTTACTTTACATTCAGAAGAAAGTGCCTTTTTATTATTGTGTTCCTGATATGTGAAGAGACATAAAATCTAAATTTAAAATAAAAAGTTCTAACGGAAATAAAGCCAGAAAGTCTGAGACAGATTTCATTTTGATCCATCCACACAGATGCAATGCAGGAAAGGGGCTTTTTAAAATAAATTCCAATTTATATACAGTTTCCTACCATTACTTATTATACCTGAGAGCTTTTGCTGGCTGTATTTCATACCATTTTGGAAGCAGCAATACAAGACAGTGTTTAATCACTCCACATATTACAAATTAGAAATTCAGTGAACTATTTCAAAGCTGTCTCATCCTAGCTAGGTCAAATTTTGTAACCAAGTGCAATGACTTTGTGCTTAATATTTTAATGGCTTTAAAAATATTTAAAAGGCAGTTTTGAACAGAGACTATCTTAAGTGACATTTCTAAATGAAGTTAAACTTACCTTTGATAGATTCATGAAGCATGATTGCAGTGCAACACCAAAGTGCTACATTTGATGGAGCAACAAGGACAGAAAGTGAGGAACCATCATCTCACTTCTTGGATTGCATGTACAATGCAACTCCGATGTAAGGTATATAGTTTACACAAGGCCATGATCTTCCAACTGATGGCCTATGACTGTACCGTACTTCCTTAAAGAAAAAGAGGCTGGTTGTTTACAAATAAAAACCTGTGTCACTGTTTGTTGTTGTACTGTCATTCCTGCCCTGTACATGCCAGAGGTCAGAAGTGCTGAGTCCAATAACACAAGGTATGAAGACCCCATAAAATGGCATGTTGCTTAGATCAGCTATACTTTCTGTAATATAAAGTAGTAATAGATCTGTTTTAAGCCATACTGAGAAAATTTCTCAAGTATTTGTCAAAGTACAGTAGAAAGTTGTCATTGATGTTAATGGGAATTTTTAGAGACACCTGTTTGATGTTTAGTGGTAGGTTTATGAATGGAGTACACTAGTTATGAAAATTTATGTTAACATTTGATTCTATTTCATCATCCTAGTATACTGAAAAACATCAAATTTAAAAGAACTTAGCCTTTCAATTATGAACCATTACACCACCATTAGTGTAATTTTGCTTCAAGTACAAACTAAGTACAGACTAGAGAAGATATGTAAAACTACTCTATACATTTCAAAGTCCTTTTCATATAGCCAGCTTTCCTTTTTTGCCTCTTGGCAGTGAAAAGAATCTTCTCAAATTAGAAAGGTATCTGATAAGCATCAAAAATTGCAAAGATAACATAGGCAAGAACAGTACCTGAAGCTACATTTAATATGCCTAAATTAAGAGACCACAAAACCTAACCAAATGCTGCAAAGTGGTCTACAGAACATAAGAAGTTATGATCAGATTAGACCAAAATCTGAAATCATGATCACACTTAATTCTTGAGTCACTAACTTTTTTTTTAAATAAAGAACCTAGAGAGGTCCCTCATCACCCTCATGCTCAAAGGCCTGGGAGATGTCTAAGTTTTATGGTGAACTAGAACAGTATTGAGGAGGGTCAGAAACATTAAATAGGTGTAGTTTTCCAACACTATATCCATCTTCCCAAGATCAGATCTTCCCCAGTTGGGTTACACTTAGTCAGACTAAGTCAGATTTTAATAAGAAAATTAGCTGAAAGATCTTAATAGAAACCTACATTCGCTCCTTGCTGATGGCAACAATGACAGAAGGTCTCTCTATCATATTCTTTCCATATCTGTTAGTAAAACAGCAGGTATCACTTCTCTCTATGATCAGCCCTGGTGCAGTCATCATCTGCAACCAAAAGAAAAAAAAAAAATCAAGCAGCAACACTGACTGCAGAACCATATTAGAACATCAGCATGTCTTCACTATTCTGTCATTCAAAAATACGGTCAAAAACATGATGAAAGTAGTTCTCTGAAGCAAGGTTTTTTCCCCTTTCTTTTTTCAGCATGAAACATCTACGTTGAGGCCATGACTTGGAATAAGAAGCCACAATGACCATCAGTAGGTTAGCACTGCTGCAAAGTACCCTTCCCAGCTACCTACTGCTTTTTCTGACAGAAGTGCTAGCTTGTAGGATGTCAAACAGCAACATCTGTGTAAAATTTGATCCTCAGATAAGTCTGTATGGAAAAGGTGCTCAGATTATTGCTAGCAGAATGAAAAACAAGGCATTGCCTGGAACACTGGAAAAGCTAATCTTAAGCAAATTTTTCAAAATTTTGCTTTGGTGCAAGGTGGTAGTAATACAGACCATTTACTGCCTATTGCGAATCCAAGTTTTCAGCTTCTATTCATTCCAATAATTTGCTGAATTTTTCAAGTACTGAATACGGATATACAGCATTTCATTGGCATGACCCTGTCAAAACAAAATTGCCCTTTGAAATAAAAACTTAGGAGGTTAAAGCCCCAGGAAAAGTCACTGTAACATTTTGATAAACATTTCTCAGGAACTGCTAGTGTTCACCACCTCCCTAGAAGTATTAGGGAA